TCTTCTAAGTTTGATACTTTCTTGTCTATAGAAAGCAATTTGCCATCTTCCAGCCGCTCTGGGAAGGACTACGCAGTATCCCACACTGCAACATGTCCCCAGCATCCTGCCCACTCGCACATCACAAGCGCTTCACTAGCGACCATGACCCAAACCAAATAATCCTCCTCCCAGGCAATAAGCACAATATCACAGCTTTTCACAAAAGGAGAGATTTTTAACTCAACAGGAAAGCAAGAGCACAGTGTCCTTAAAGCACTTTCATCTCTACTACACTACTGGAATGCTCTCCAGCAGGCAAGGGAGAGCTCCAGCCAAGAGCACAGGAATTACTCAGGACTAGGGATCTGGGTAAGCATACATTATTGCACTCGTGGACAAAGGTCAGTCTTAAAAACACTCAGTTCTTTTACAGACACCTGCCAATTCCTTATCTTTTACAACCAGAACCAATTTCCACTGAAGCCAGCAGGCAACTTTCCATCAACATGAAAGAAACCTGGATCAGGCCCTATGAACACAGATATTCCATTCTCCAACATTGAACTTTTGCTCCAAGAAATATATTTGGAGTTGAAACAGATTAAAACAAAAAGTGTAGGGAGAGGGATGGGGCATGGAGCAGGAGGGAGCACCAGGGCATAAAACAAAAAGTAAAAGAAGTAATTGCCAAAAAATTAAATGGGCAATTTGCTCTTCCTCTGCAGAAAAGAAACTCAGATTGAAAAGCAGTTTCCTTGCAAGTCCTCCCACAGGTTTATTTCTGAAGTCCAGATGCAAAACCTAGACTACCTAAAATACATCTATAAACGGTGCTTCATACAAACGTGCCTGCTTTAGTGACGTATGCCATAGCAGCACCGTCTGCCTCTTCACATCTGTTGCCACGCTGTGTCTCCTTTTCAACGCTATCTGTAACTCAAAGCAGTTGTGAGAAAGCATACTCGCTTTAAAACTACAAACTGAAGCCAGGCTTCAGGACACATGGGGAAACTTCGAGGCCAGGACTCTGCACCAAAGTAGAGGGTCAGGCAGCATCAGGACAGAACTGCATCTTCAGTGCTAGAGGAAAATAGCCAGGCAGGTGCTGCATGTTAGGCACCTATGGCCCATTAGGGGTCTGGACCTTGGTCCTGGGACAGTGGCAGAGAATTTCCTGCCAAAACTCTGAGAAAAGAAAAGCTACTTCAAAATTAAAAGCATTATGCTGAGTATCACACACAGCACAGATGCTGGTAAATACCATCGGTGCAGAGAAACGACATGCAAAACAAGCTCTCTTCGGAACGACCTTTAGACCACGCCCAGTTAATAAGGACAGCGTAGTTAAGATGACCAAGCAGAAGACAGAATTGGGAACACCACATAATTGATATCTAATACTTAAAAGGATACTATAATTATTTCATAAAATTATTTTCTATGACATTAGATAAAGGAGGGATTAACTACCCAAGCCAGCGTAGCACAGACCTGTGGCATAAACTGGAAGGTGGGCTCTGCGCAAGGCCTGGCTTCCTCATGCACACACCCCCTCCTGGACCTGCAGCTCCACATCTGGATCACATCCCACAGCACAGGGGAAGAGGAGCTTGGAAAGCTGGAACCACCAAGTCACCCAAAGGCTTCTCGCTGACAGATGTTAGCGCATCCCCTGCAACACTGTTCTGACTTCCAGTGGTCATGAAACAGAATCTGACTGATGAGATTTGCTCACCGTTAAAAAGAACAAACCTGTAAAGGAAAGCCCATCTCCTGAAACTACAACATGCAATGGGCAGGGGGCAGTACCCACTTAAAACAAGGACACATATCCCCTTTACAGTCCTTTCCCATTTGTCCTAGGGCAGCCTTCATATCTTGCAAGCCCTAGCACTAAGGCCAATACAGTTTGGTTTATCGGATTACCCTTGGTTTTAAACAGAGGTTTTATCTGCAAAGACCCAATACTGGATATCTAACATAGTGATACCCATCAAGAGGTAATCTTCAGACTAGGAAAAAATGAGAGCTCAGTAGCCAGAGTTCAATGCCAACAGATAAAGAGTGCACACTGTTCCGCCTCTTCGGACACCAAAAGTCAGTTCACAGTCCCGAGACTGCAACTCCCGCACTCAGCAATTCTGCCTGACTGCAGGGAAGAGATCAGCGAGTAACCTTTAAAAACTGCCTCTAGAAGGGAATAGTTTGAAAAGATTTGTCATCACGTCCCTAGTTTATAGAGAAGAGTAATATATCGCTTAAGTTGAACGCCTCTGGTCCATCCTCTGGATGGAGCATGTACAACAGTTGCGTTTCTTTTAAGCTACAAAGTCGTGTTCCAAACAGGCAACACACTGACAGCATAATCCAGGTTTTACACTGGAAATCAGATCCATCACCAATTCCAAACTTAAAGTCATATTTCTTCTTATAAAACAATATCAAGATTTTTCAATTGGCAAAATATTAAACAAAACTGTTCTATCTGGCTGAATACTAAGAATATTTTTTAAGCTCCTTCTAAAGGACTGGGGAACAGCCAAGGAGAGAAGCAACAGATGGTAACAAGATACTTCATAATCTCCACTATTTGTATTTCTTTTAAAGGACATACCATGTATTCTCATTATACTTTTCTTTGCCACTAAAGGAAACTGCTGCTTCCAAAAATTTTTGTCCAGAAGCCTGATTCAGTTTTATTGGGATTTGTTAGAAAAAGATACTCCAACTTTGCGGGTTAGATTGGAGCGTGACATCATCTGTTTAAAAAATGAGAAAAGTATGATTTGGAAGGGCAGCGTTCAGCTGCACTTCACAGTTCGTGTCACTTCTGACATAGTGAAGCGTCTTTGACGGTTTATTCTGGAAACCCTTGGGCTAGCTTTCTTCCCCCTCTTTTCTGCACAACCTGACTGATGTGTTTCTGAAGATTTTAAGTGTTTTGCCTCACTCCATACAGAGGGACTGCCTAAAATGAAACTGAAACAGAAACAATCTGAGCTGATAAAAAAAACAGCTTGGAAGGCTAAAAAAGAGCTCTAAAGGGGTATTAGTCAATGCCATCAGCTGTCCAAATCTGACTCCTCCCTCATCTAAATTGATAGCCTATTAGGAGGCTCATTAGGAAAATTCAAAGCCTTTCACTGCCAGAGTCGCTGCTCAGAGCGGCAAGTTGGCCCTGCAGCAGCTCTCCAGCCTCCCACCGCATCGCATCGCTGGCTCCAGCTACACAGACCACTGCTTCCCAGAGCTGCACCCACAGCTGTGACAGAAGTCACAGAAAAGTTACCAGTAACTTTAAAGAGTGCTAGGTCTTATGCTGAAGCTGTTCAGAGAAGATACACTGACAGGCAACGTTCCTAAGGATGCTCTGAAACCACTGAAATACTAGCACAATGACAGAGGGCAGAAAAAAACTATTATTTCCTTTGAAACAGCGGGTACTAGTAATAATTCAGCTTCCAGCTAACAAAGTAACAGTGGCCTGATGCCACTGGCTGCATAAAAAAAGGGGATTAAGTTGTTAGTACTGTTCCAATAGTCTTTAGTCGGAGAAAACTGCTCTAAATAATAATCCAATGCTTTTGCAATACAATACAATCTCTTCAGTAACTCTGACTGCCATTATTTTTTTTTCCTAGCAGTGATGTACTAGAAGCATTTTATTCATTGGTGAACAACTTCTTTCCATCTTGCTCAGAACTTGCAAGCAAACTGTTGACGAAAGCATTCCTCGTGCTACCGCCTTTTATTTTCTTCCTTAAAGTTATTTTAAGAGCCTAGAAACTACAATAATTGACAATTACACCACTATATAACAAAATTCCCCACACATTTGTCCCAGTAACATACAAACAACCCAGCAACTACCACCTGCTGAGCTTCCAGGATAGAAGAAAATATCCAAAACTTGCATGAACTTGAGCATGAAAGCTCAATCTCGGGCAGATCAGCTATTCCGCATGCTTTTAGCTTAGTTTCCTAAGAATCCCACAAAACTCTTATCTACTTTAACTTTGCAGATTTCAAAATCAGCTCTGCCCACAAACCACTTATTCTTTCTAACATTATTTAAAATGATCTCAGAGCATGGATGCCTCCCTAGCATCTCCCACAGCCACAGAAAATACCCTGAAAACAGAACTTTTGGAGTAAATCCACAAGTATCCATCTATCCTGCTCTGGTATTTCACAATTCACCACGGGGAGCGCAGATATTTGGAAAGCGGAGCCCTTTGAAACACACAGGGTAACCGAAGCCTCCAGCTAGCAAAATAAAGTGCTTAATCCTTTCTTCGGCACGACTTTTAAAATGACATTTCAGGGGGGTTTGCTGCCGTTTTGCCTACCTAGGACTGTTTTGCATCTCGTTCTTCACAGCACTTCCTCTAGCCACAGTCGGCAGTAGTAATTTGAGGGAGAAACGGCAAAGTTGGGTTAGGGAAGTGCAGAGGGGACAGAGTGTGTGCCTTGGAGTCCGGAGCAGAAAAGTCGGCAAAGCTTTTGTGCACCGAGATCTGCCGCTTTGAAGCGGGGAGAGAAGAGCAAATTCCTTCTCGACAAAAGTTTCCTCTCCTCAAGGAGGAGGAGGAGGAACTATGCACGAAGAGAGTTTTCCAGTTAAATATACACATGTATTCACACACACATATAAATACACACATACAAACAGAATTAGAAGCTCTAGAAACACATACTGACTTCTGCTCCAGAAAAAAAGCACAGCAACAGGCAGATCTGCTTAAGACGAGGGGGGAAAGCATTGTTTTAAGTTTTTTCCCTTTTACGGGCCCCCTGACAAACGGCATTCAGAGACTCGGGCAGCTAAAGGGTTTTTTTCCTCTCTCGCTCGCTCTTTTTGGAAGGCATCGAGTAAGAAAAGACAAACGTTTTGCAAAGCACAAAAGCCAGCTCTCTCTCCCTCTCGCTGTTTGCGCCAAATTTAAAAAAAAGCTCCAGCTCCCCAAAGGCTTCCTCCGTACGCGGGCGACGCTCGCGCTCCCCGCGCGGCCGCTTACCTGCACCGCCCAGGGACGCGGCGCCCAGCAGGAGCAGCGCTGCGGGCACCGGCCAGCTCCGTATCCAGCTTCGCCTTTTCCACCGTGTGTGCGTATCCATGGTCCACAAAAAAAGGGGCACCAGCTCGGGACAACTCGGCAAGCACCGAAAAAAAAAAACTGAGAAAAAGGAGGAGAAAAGGAAGGAGGGGGCGCAAAAAAATTAAAAAAAAAAAACACACACACGCGAAGAAAAGCCGCTCAAGCCCCCCCCCCTGCCTCCCCC